TGTAATCGATCGAAATATGAGAGCTCGCCGCCATTTAGATTCTGGTCTCTACTGAGTTAAAAAATGTTTTTAAAAAATCCAAATTTTGAATGTGTCAGGACAACTCTTAGATGATTCAAAGTTCCGTCCAGTTTGGTCTAATACCCTTAAAAAAAAGTGTTGTATTCAAATCAACTAATTTGAAGGGTGTTTCACATCCCCTTAATTGTATCTACATTTTTCGATCTCACGGACGGAAATTAAATCGACTAGAAGCAAAAATTCTACCAAACAGGTAGCAAAAAGGATGGCAATAAAGAAGGAAAAAAAAAATCAGAACGTTCGCGGGTGTTCGTTTTAGCCTCATGGCGAGTATGTATATATACCCCCCCCCCCCCCCCACGATTTATATCCGGCACGTCGACCGCGTTTTATCACGGTGCAATAAGCCGCGTGACGTCTGGAAAACCGAGAACTCACGTCGAGAGCGATTCGAATTTCGAGGGCGAACGGAAACGAGGCCTCGATGTTCTGCGAGCTCGACGCCGGCTCGGTTTTAAAATTGGACCCTCACCCTCCACGCCGCCGCTTTTCCGTCAATACCCGAGGGCGACCCACAGGGAAAGAATTTTAAGAGTGAAATCCGTCGATATTAACCCTTTGCACTCCGCGCCATCCCATTTAGACATAAAATGTCCCCCCAGAGGGGACAGCGGAGGGCAACGGGTTAAGGTGAAGTGAAACACGTCGAGGAACTTGATCGACGTCGATAAAGAAGATTTTTCTAAATGCCTACGTTGCCGACGTTGGTTTTTATATCGACTCCTGGGTCGAATTATATTGGGTATTGGACCAAATGGCATACTCCAGTTGTTGTTTTCGTAGAATAAGTATAAAGAAATCCAAGTAAAACTCCAGAAATACTCTGGATTCATGCTTTCTGCGGCCCTAATTGACTGCGGAGGACCCCCTGCGCCATCTGTGATTTCCAGGTCAATTAAATTTTCACTCCGAGACCTCGTATTCTCATCGTTTTAGCATAGAAGCGCATACAACACTTTTTTTGCCTTTATCCCGTTCAAATGCGAGTTTATCGATTACCAGAATGTTCTAAATTGTCGTAAAGTTGTCCTGACCCTTTCGATTCTCATATCAGAGCCTTCGATAATTGTATATCGATCGAAATATGAGAGCTCGACGCCATTTTGGTTCTGGCCTGGGCTGAATAAAAAAATTTGTTTACAAAATCCAAATTTCGTATGTGTCAGGACAACTCTTAGATGGTCAGGAGTGACGTGTCAAAGTTTCGGACAGTTTGGTCTAATACCCTTAAAAAAAAGTGTTGTATTCGAATCGACTGATTTGAAAGGGGTTTCACTTCACCTTAAGAATCGCGACCACATTCGGACCGCGGTCGCGACCTCGGCCTGTCGTCCCACGGAAATCCGGCGGTTGACTGGAGATTCGCGAACGCGCGGCTTTAATTTAGCCCGGCGTAGACGGGCTCTACGTGTATATACCGAGGGAGAGAGAGGACGTCCTCCACCTACGTCGACCTGGAGTCGCGTACGACTACCTCGGTGCGAGTACGCCCGAGCCGTGTAATTGGCTCTAGCCTCCACCCCTTGCATTCCTCCCGGCCGCATTTCACGGATGCAGTTCAGATGCATTTCACGGATGCATTTCACGGATGCGGTTCACGGATGCGGTTAACGGATGCAGTTCACGGATGCGGTTCACGGATGCATTTCACGGATGCAGTTAACGGATGCAGTTCACGGATGCATTTCACGGATGCGGTTCACGGATGCAGTTCACGGATGCATTTCACGGATGCGGTTCACGGATGCGGTTAACGGATGCGCATTTCACGGATGCATTTCACGGATGCAGTTCACGGATGCGGTTCACGGATGCAGTTCAGGGATGCAGTTCACGGATGCATTTCACGAATGCAGTTCACGGATGCGCTTCACGGTTTGCGGTTCACGGATGCATTTCACGGATGCAGTTCACGGATGCATTTCACGGATGCAATTCACGGATGCAGTTCACGGATGCAGTTCACGGATGCGGTTCACGGATGCAGTTCACGGATGCGGTTCACGGATGCAGTTCACGGATGCATTTCACGGATGCGGTTCACTATTAGGGCCCCAGAAAGCATGAATCTCGAGGATTTCTGGAGTTTTACTTTGATTTCTTTATAATTATTGTACGGAAACGACATATGGTGTACGCCATTTGGTACAATATCCAATATAATTCGACACAGCCGTCAATATAAAAACCAACGTCGGCAACGTAGGCATTTAGACAAATTTTCTTTATCGACGTTGACCAAATTCCTCGACGAGTTTCACTTCACCTTAATGCTTCACTTTAATATAGTGATTATTAATCGAACCATTACCGTGTCGGTCGGGAAATAATTTTTTAATAAATATCAGTTGTTTATAGTAAGAAATCCGAAAGTAACGACGTCGCAGTCGTGTACGAGAAATCCGATTCACGTAAACCTCTGCGACGTTATCAATAAATAAAGGACGGACCCTTACTTATAATAAGCCTTGGCGTCGCGACGCGAAAGTGGAAGGTCCGGTGTGAAATCGATTTTCCGTGTTTACGTCATTGACGTTTCATCGCCGGCTTTCTCGAGAACGTCCTTCTCGGTTCTTCCTCTCGTTTCAACGTAACAAAGCCGCGGCAATTACTGTCCCATTGATTTCTTTCATAGTGCGATAAATAGCGCCGCTGCTAATTCCCCCTCCCCCCCAATAATTATATTACGGTAATAAAAACGTGCAATGCTACTTAAGGTGAAGTGAAACACGTCGATTAACTTGATCAACGTCGATAAAGATGATTTTTCTAAATGCCTACGTTGCCGACGTTCGTTTTTATATCAACAGCTATACCGAATTATATTGGGTATTGTACCAAATGGCATACTCCACCTGTCGTTTTCGTACAATAATTATAAAGAAATCGAAGTAAAACTCCAGAAATCCTCTGGATTCATGCTTTCTGGGGCCCTAATTGACTGCAGAGGGACCCCCTGCGCCATCTGTGATTTCCAGGTCAATTAAATTTTCACTCCGAGACCTCGTATTCCCATCGTTTTAGCATAGAAGCGCATACAACACTTTTTTTGCCTTTATCCCGTTCAAATGCGAGTTTATCGATTACCAGAGTGTTCTAAATTGTCGTAAAATTGTCCTGACCCTTTCGATTCTCATATCAGAGCCTTCGATAATTGTATATTGATCGAAATATGAGAGCTCGACGCCATTTTGGTTCTGGTCTGGACTGAGTTAAAAAATTTTTTTGAAAAATCCAAATTTTGAATGTGTCAGGACAATTCTTAGATGATCAGGAGTGATGTGTCAAAGTTTCGGACAGTTTGGTCTAACACCCTTAAAAAAAGGTGTTGTATTCGAATCGACTGATTTGAGGGGAATTTCACTTCACCTTAAGAGATTATTATGAAAAATCCAAATTTTCAATGTGTCAGGACAATTCTTAGATGATCAGGATGTGTCAAAGTTTCGGACAGTTTGGTCTAATACCCTTAAAAAAAGTGCTGTATTCGAATCGACTGATTCGAAGGATGTTTCACTTCACCTTAACGATTCGCCCCACACAGCGCGATGAAAAATTCCGGGTACAACGTTGCAACGAGGACGAGTTTCCCAATTATTTCCTAATTGTTAATTACGTTGAGCAGCTCGGTGCTCGGCGAGCTCCTTCGAGCCCGTGGCAGGTCGATGAAAGGAGCTGTGCGTCAGGGTGACCACCACGACGAGGACCGAAGCTCCCAGGAGGAAAAGGAAGGTGCCCAGGATGAGCATCGCGATTCTTCGATGACGTCTCGCCTGGGCAATTTCCCCAGGACTTTTCGGCCCGATCGGCGCCCTCGGAGACTCCTTTTTTATCGGCCTAACAGAGTCCTTTCTCCTCGTGGTGCCGTTCCTCCGGGGTCTTCCTCGTTTGCAGACACTGGCTCTTCTGCCGTCGCCTAAGGACGTTCGAAAGCCTCCTTTCACGATTTTCGGATTTTCTCGTCCTCCCTCATCTTCTCTTGGAATCCGCCCTCGAAAATGCCGGGGAATTCCGTCTGAAAAGGAGAAAACTCTTTCCCCGGCATTTCGACGAGGTTTCCTGGTGTGTACGAGGAGTGTACCCTGGCGGTGAATGGCTTCCTCGTGTATTAGAGGTTGTCCCATAAGTTGCTTCCCTTTTTTTCATAGGACGTGAATACACAATGTGGAAGGAACTTATGGGACAACCTCATACATGGCGCAGCCTGGTGGCGGTGACGTAAACTAAACGTGAAAAACCAGCTTGAGAACTTATGTACTTGCGGTACCTGATGTATGATATACTGTAAAATAATTAATGTAATGAAGCAACTTATTGAACGATCACAATGAGTACGTTTAAGTAGAGGAGCATGTCTAGCAAACCCTCTAATCGCCTATTCCTGATCCTTGAAAATCACTCGTAGGTGTAAGGCACGTAACTTGGTGCCACCTCCTCGGTTGTCCTAGGTTCCTGTTAGAAATCGGAAATTTCAACCCCTAAAATGTNAATTTCCTTCTCCCCCCTAAATGAATTACAACATGCCAAGGCTCCGATAAACAATGTCGAAGGACCCTCTTCAGCATGCGAGTGCAAGAGAATCGTTTCAAATATACATGGATAATTGAATCTTTAAATTGTACCCGAGAACATATGGAACGATTCGATATTTCCATTTTCTTAACTACTATTGCTAAAAGTTTATAAAATTCATCCGTGTCAATAATTGACCTCTCTCCGTACGAGTCTTCAGGCTTGTACGAATGTTCAAATCAAGCACGCTGAATTAAATGTTAAATTATAAATGTTTACGACTCCTCGATAGGTGTTGAAAATTTAAATATAAACGTCGGTAATTCCTCTTCCACTGAACATCGGTTTAAAAGTACGTTATTGAGTATTTTGTCTGAAATTACCGTTTATCGACAATCGCTCTTGTTCTTTGCCTCCACAATGAGCACGTAATCAACTCTCGCCATACAGAAACGCGTTCGCGGTCTTTGCACAAAGCGCCCTTAATGTCTGTTCTCGTAGTCGTGACCTGGCGGTCTCGTTAAAGCAACGTCTACGCTTCCGACGAGATTTCTCCGGCGACTCCATCGAGGGGAACTTTGTCCTGGGCCGAACAATGTTGGCATTCGAGTCGACGTGCGCCTATCATTCATCCTTTACGCCTTCCATTGTGCTTCTAGGTCTCTTCTTCTCCGATTTATCGAGACCCACTGCTCGTCCTGTAACTGGGACAGCTTTTCATCGAACGCTAAACGAATGGACATCATTTACTCATGAGACGAAGCAAAGCATCCTTCATCGGACTCGATTAATAACAAAGTGACTCGAGTAACGATGTATATTACAAATTAATGTAAATTAGGAAAATAAGAGAAGCCGCCTTTTCCTCCTTTGAAATTATTACTCTAATTATTTAGGAAAATGTACTGAAAAGTAGGAAATAAACACTAGTTTTTAGTTCCCTGACGGAGAGACTCTCCTTTGAGCTATCGATAAATATCGATAAGTTAAACGAGAGAGTATAACTATATTTTTAACTTTGTTGGATTTCAATGTCACACTGCGATATGTATAAATATGTTAATATTGCATTAGGATGTTAAGAACAGATTTTCATCGAACGCTAAATGAATGAACATCATTTACTCATGAGACGAAGCAAAGTATCCTTCATCGGACTCGATTAATAACAAAGTGACTCGAGTAACGATATATATTACAAATTACTGTAAATTAGGAAAATAAGAGAAGCCGCCTTTTCCTCCTTTGAAATTATTACTCTAATTATTGACGAAAATGTACTGAAACGTAGGAAATAAACACCAGTTTCTAGTTTCTTGACGGAGAGAGTCTCATTTGAGCTATCGATAAATATTGACAAGTTAAACGAGAGAGTATAAGTATATTGTTAACTTTGTTGGATTTCAACGTCACACTGCGATATGTATAAATATGTTAATATTGCATTAGGATGTTAAGAACGGCTTTTAACGTGATTTATTATACAGAATATTCAGAGCGTGTCCATCGCAGGACAGAACTGCATTCTTGATTCGATTCTTGCATAAACACCTGCGGCCGCAGAATGAACGCTCGTAATTCTATTTATAAACGTGCTTTTTTTAAATTAGGCCCTAATGAATATGTAATACGCGAAAGTGACCGGCACGCGACCGAAGGAGGTTAGGTTATAAGTGTATCACTGGACTGACCTACACTCGCGACTCGATTGTATTATCTGGCGAATAAATATGTAAAATCACTGAATGAACCCTCTTAATTCTATTTATAAGTCTGTTTAGGCCCGTCCTTGAGAAATATTTAATTCGTGGAGTGACCGGCAAAAGATCGAAGGGGGTTAGGTTAGAAAGAGTTCCGACAAGATTGAAGTACAAAACACTCATCAAATATACCGATATGACGCTAAATAACTTGATAAACACACGAAAGAACGTGAAATCGGTATCTTATAAATGATGTGTTACCTGTTGGGAATAAATTCCGTGTTCAATGCTTCACTAATCACGATTTCAACACCATCGATACTCGTACATACTCGTACACGTTCTCACTGACGCAATCAAAAATCCAAAATGGCGGCCATGCGGCCCTTTCTTGCCAAAATAGCGTTGCTAATTTACGATGAAAAAAGCATTTATAACAGCTACTAAACGACAATAAAGAACCTAGACATTACGCATGTCTACGCTGTTTCCAGATCCGAAAATTGCAGGTTTAACGTATCCTAGCTTTAGAAAATCATCAAAAGGCAGGATATGCGGCTTTTAAGGTGAAGTTAAACACGTCGAGGAACTTGACGTCGATAAAGAAGATTTTTCTAAATGCCTACGTTGCCGGCGTTCGTTTTTATATTGACGGCTGGGTGGAATTATATTGGATATTGTACCAAATGGCGTACACCACATGTCGTTTTCGTACAATAATTATAAAGAAATCAAAGTAAAACTTCAGAAATCCTCTGGATTCATGCTTTCTGGGGCCCTAATTGACTGCAGAGGGACTCCCTGCGCCATCTGTGATTTCCAGGTCAATTAAATTTTCACTCCGAGACCTCGTATTCCCATCGTTTTAGCATAGAAACGCATAAAACACTTTTTTTGCCTTTATCCCGTTCAAATGCGAGTTTATCGATTACCAGAGTGTTCTAAATAGTCGTAAAATTGTCCTGACCCTTTCAATTCTCACATCAGAGCCTTCCATAATTGTATATTGATCGAAATATAAGAGTTCGACGCCATTTTGATTTTGGTCTGGGCTGAATGAAAAAATTTGTTTACAAAATCCAAATTTTGTATGTGTCAGGACAATTCTTAGATGATCAAGATGTGTCAAAGTTTCGGACAGTTTGGTCTAATACCCTTAAAAAAAGTGTTGTATTAGAATCGACTGATTTGAAAGGGGTTTCACTTCACCTTAAGGCGGGTAATAGGGAGTAAACTATGGTCCTCGATGTCGATTTTAATTGCTCGACCGTGCAATGCAGGACAATAATTCGAGGCCGAAATGGAATTGACGGAGAAAAGCTTCAGCGAGGACGAGCAACATCCAGAAAAATGCCTCGGAAGATGCGACGACCCGAAGGGACAAAAAGTGTATTCTAGCGTGCGACGAAAGGGGTGAAGAGCGTCGCCATTTCTTTACGGCGTTGGAATAAACCCAGCGAACGGAAGAGGGAGGGGAGGGAAGGTAAAAAACGAAATAATACAATTTGTTCGAAGCTCCTCCTTTCCGATGTCGCATTTCATTCCCTTCCCTATGAATGAGAAACTCCCTCCATTTTACAGACAATACCGAGAATTAAAACTCCTTTAAAAGAATAAAAATAAATAATCAAACACAGGATTTTCCGCCTTCCTTTTCTACACACGAACCGTAATAAACGTTTGCGATTATACTCTGAAACTCGAGGTTATAATTCCGAAAATGTTTAACGCGACACCTGATCGCCCCCAAAAAACAATCCCAATTGTCGTTGCAATTGATTTTCGGTAATTCGAGGAAAATAATACATGGCTGCAGGCTGGAATAATTAACAATAGGCCCTCCGTTGCTACCCTTCGACAGTTTTAACCCAGTTTCGTTGCATAATATAAATCAAAGCAATCGATTAAGGTGAAGTGAAACACCCTTCTAATCAGTCGATCCGAATACAACACTTTTTTTTAAGGGTATTAGACCAAACTGTCCGAAACTTTGACACATTACTCCTGATCATCTAAGAATTGTCCTGACACATTCAAAATTTGGATTTTTGAAACGAATTTTTTAACTCAGCCCAGACCAGAACCAAAATGGCGTCGAGTTCTCATATTTCGATCAGTATACAATTATCACCAAATGGCATACTCCGCCTGTCGTTTTCGTACAATAATTATCAAGAAATCGAAGTAAAACTCCAGAAATCCTCTGGATTAATGCTTTCTGGGGCCCTAATTAACTGCAGAGGGACACCCTGCGCCATCTGTGATTTCCAGGCCAATTAAATTTTCACCCCGAGACCTCGTATTACCATCGTTTTAGCATACAAGCGTATACAACACTTTTTTTGCCCTTATCCCGTTCAAATGTGAGTTTATCGACTATCAAAGTGTTCTAAATTGTCGTAAAATTGTCTTGACCCTTTCGACTCTCATATCAGAACCTTCGATAATTGTATATCGATTGAGGATTTATAAAGATAAAATTGTTCCTCAGGATCGTGTAAGGGAATTTTGATAAAACGAACCAGTGTGCATAAAAGTGTGCCGAAGTTGCGGTCGCGTTCTACCGGATCCGCAATCGAAAGACCGCGTTCCACTAACAAGAAATTTCGCCTCAGTTTCCACCGGATTTAGGAAGGCTTACAGTTGAGCAGCGCTGTGTGAATGGTAGCAGGCACTCCGGCGCAGCCTGGGGCAGTCGGAGGAATCGCTGAAGGCTTCTCTGGCCCTTTCAAAATTAATCAGAGCGAGCTGTTGGTCGCCATCGATGCTCAGGAGTTCGAAACGAGGATCCAGGACTCGAACATCCTGGAACCGCGTCAAATGCGGACTCCTCGAGGGTCTTGGTCTCTTCCTGGGACTCCTTGGGTATTCCGAGGCTCTTCTCCCCTTTCCTGAGACAGAAATACGAACGTTATCGCTGAATTGATAATGTATGTGTGTATATATATTAGGTAAACCGAAAAGTAACATGTATTCGAATCGACTGATTTGAAGGATGTTTCACTTCACCGTAAGTTGTAAAAACTTTAACAATGTTGAAGAAGTGATAACGCAGTTGGAAAAGTTTTTCGATGCAAAATCGAAGGACTTTTTTAAAAAAGGAATCGAACAACTGCCTATACGCTGGCAAAAGGTGTTAAAAAATTATGGAAATTATTTTGTTGATTAAAATGTAGGATTTCTTTAATTAATAAATGTTTTTCGTGAACTAAAGGAAATTTTGATTACTTTTCGGTTTGTAATATATATACGCTCTATATAATATATTACATATATATATATGCTCCCAGCGTCGATTTTACAAGCAGCGAAGTTTCTTTACATAACGAATGTCGTTTCAAGGCTATCCAGGATATTTGAATAGCAATGGGAGGGACAACCGTGAACCCCGGAAGAAAACCGAGGCAACGCGCAACGCTCTCTCCGGTATCCTAGCAACCGGCGGATCGTTAAGGGCAAAATTCGCCCTACGCCGAACATATTGTAAGGAGAATCGCCACCCTCGAACCCGGTGGTGTGTTTCAAATGAAAACGTTGACCTCCTCGGAAACACAATTCGCGGTCACCCCGCAAGATGGCGGCGGTTAGGGTGTAAAGTGAGTACCGCCAGTTGCGAACTCGGGGTGTACATATTGGGTTGTTCGGAAAGTAATTTCGTTGTTACATAGGACTTAATTTTTTTTTCTAACTCCACACTTAAGCCGCATAATCATTATATATTTTTACAACTGATCTAGCAAGGCTTGCTTGTGAAAAAGTTTCATTGATTCTACGCAGTGGTTTTTGGGTGGTACCCTTTCAAATGTGGAAAGTGAAAAGCGGCATTTTCGGCATGTTTTACTTTTTTACTATCGAAAAGGGGAAAATGATGTTCAAGCGAGAGAAAAATTATCCGACGGGTATGGAGAAGATGTATTGACGGAACGCCAGGGTCGAAACTGGTTTGCAAAATTTCGATCCGGCAATTTTGATATCGAAGATGCCCCACGTTCTGGAAGGCCACTTAAAGCTGATGAAAACACGA